CCAGTCATCATTGCAGTAAAAGTTGTTGTATTTGAAGAAGGTGCAGCAGCAGTTATTATGTTAATATTATTGTTGTTCTTGTTATTATAATATTTTTTTTTCGTAATACATATAATTAATATTTTTAGACGAATTTATTTTCATTTAATAAAAATGCCTATACCAATCAAAACTCATAATCCCAAAGCCTCGAATTTACATACTAATATTAGTAAAAGTATGCAAAATAACGTTTCTAGCCTTATTTCATCATTTATGTATAAGAAAATCAGAATTTCTATACATGTATTGTTAGCTATAGTTAAGCCGGAAATTCATAAACTAATTATAGATTCAATGATGAATAATAATAATAACGGAGCTATCATAGCTAAAACAGTTTATATTACATCTAAAGTAGCTTCGTCTGATGAAGTTGAAGATGAAGTTGAAGATGAAGTTGAAGATGAAGTTTAACCAAAAGTATGTAAAAAAATTATTTTTAGCGGAGCTAGCATGGGTAAAATTCCGATGTGTACAACCCATATAATAATTAATATTAATATTTTTTTTTTTCGTAATACAATAAAATAAAGTTATATGTAAATGTGTGGTTAAGATATGCTAGAGTTGAGCTAGAGACGTGCTAGAATTTTTTCTATATATTTATATGTAAAACGATACACTCATGCTAGAGTCGTGCTAAATTTTTAGTAAATCATATTAGTTAATTTCTAATTACTGCTTCTTCTTTTTCTTCTTCTTCTACTTCTTCTATAAAATCGAATTCATCATCATTATAGATAAATGGAATAACGTCCCCATCATACAATGTAAAAGTTTTATTTTCAAAATTTACATTTTCCACATTTGCCTGAAACCATGGCCAACCCAATATAAGTGCGTTTTTATGCCTAGGTTCCAGTGCGATTTTTTGCTCAGGTTCATCAGTTACAAAAATTTCAGTAACTTCTACTTGTTTCCATTTATTATCTTTGGTTTTAATAGAGATATTTAGTTTATGGATCATACCTAATGTATTAAACATACTTGGTTTTCCTTCTGGTTCTGTATAGGAAGTATCGATTTTCAATTTTTTAGCGGAGCTAGCATGGCTAAAATGTCTTGCTAAGTCCATATCTACAATATTATAATTAGTACAGGAGCAACATCCAACCTCAACTGGTATATTATTAATTTTACAGGGTATATTCATTATGGTGTTTTTATTAAAATAGTATATTTATATTAGAAAAAAATTTATAATTTAGCGGAGTTAACATGGCTATTTTTTCCTGGAGTGGTACTTTTAGTCGATCGTCTACATGTGTGGACGATAATCATTTTGGAAGATGATCTGCTATAATTAAATAACGTCTCAAAAATATATCTAAAAAATCATTATGTTATATAAATTATTGATTTTCGGGTTTGAGTGTTAATTTCATAGCCCTTTTTTCTGCTTCTTCAGGAATTACCCCTGATGCAACAAACTTTTTATATGCACGAATTCTCCAATGCCCATAAGGTAAAGTTCGGATTCCGTCAGATAAAATCCAGCGCTTATTGTCATAAGGATTTAGCCCTATTTTGTTAACGCGTTATAAATAAATTTGATGATCATAGCTACGAAGCCCATACATGTCGTGCCTAGTAATTTTTCGAGTCTTTAAGCATTCTAAAAACTTGTCATGACGAAGCTCCCTTTTTACTACGGATTTTTTAACGCCCTTGGCCTTTTGTATGCCATGCTTTTTCTGCCAACCTTCTTCTTCTAACTCTTTTTCAAAATCCGCCTCTGTTTTTGGCGTTTTGGGATCATGACCAACTGGAAGAACTGAATACACTTTCAGCTTTAAACATACAGCTTCACTAATCGGGATCCCCTTACACTCATCTTTCATTAGAAATAAGTCTCCGGAATTATTAAGATCAAATAGGTCTAGCCTCTGCCCAGTCTTTATAAATGTCTTCAGTTTCAATCCACATAATTAGTGAATTGGTATCAGTATAAAGAAGGTGGGCCTTTTCTCCATAACGGGGTTTAATATAGCCATACCAAAAGTTATACATCATAGCCTAATATTGAGAATTGCTTGCCCTACAAACATCAGCTTATTTAGAGTAATCTGGCTTTTTAGCATATGGATGGCTGTAATTCCGCCTTTGAAAGCCTTAAAACCTACATATAAAGGAGATACAGTAAGACGTTTAAGTTTTTTGTCCTCATCAGGACATTTTCCATTTGCTTACCAAAAACAGCATTATTTTTTAATTTATAGTACATAACTCAAATTCATCCCCAGACGCTTTAGCAATTTTTCTTTTGCAAATATTTTCACAACACCTTTTTCAGGTGCTAATGGGTAATCATTGAATAAATCATGCAAGTTTAACAGAACTTCCATATCAACTTCAAGTAAATAGCCCTCTTCAGAGTCAATTGGAATTTCTAAAATATTAGGAATTGCCTCAGGGGCTACCTTACCTAAAATTTCTGTTGGTAAATATTGCATCATGGCACCAGAATATAAGGCATTCATATCCTCATACATAACCCATGAATTTGGCTTGTTTTCATCATAATCAGGACATTGTGGGTTATTAGCTTTGGCATAACGTTGACTAACCATAGACATGCCCCCACAAATGCCTCTCTCTACTAACATATATTGATCTAGGTCTGTCAGAAGTTTTATTTCAGCCCCACTACTTTTGTATAAGGAATCATTAAACATACCGGGGGCTGAAACATAATGGGATGGGCCTAAGCCATCATCTTTCAAACACATAATGGTATAATTCATAAAAACGTCCACAAGTAGGAGTACATCTGTTTCAAGATATAAATCATGATATTCACTAAAAGTTTTCATTTCAAATTTTTGCCAGACTTCTTGAGCATAGGCATAGTCTGCCTTACTAATGTTTTGCTGGTTAAGTAGAGAATAGAAATCTTTTCTGTGCGGTAAAGCTGTTTTTTGAATTTATCCCAAGAATTGGTCCAGTCATATGGAAAAACTCCTTTTCGAAATAGAAATTTGATTTGCTCTAATGAGTATTTTTTATTGGTAAAATGCTTTTTAGTTAGGGGGAACTTTTCTAGATTGCTGTTCATACACTCAACAAGCTTATCAAGCCCCATAGACATATGTTGAAAGCTATCTAAAAAGTGCAATTGACCAACATCCATAGCCTTATATTTGCCTACGTTTTCCGGAATGCATTTAAGCCTATTGGAAGTAAATCTGCTAACAACTTCTATAAGTAAATGAGAATCATAGCCTTGGAAATTATGACAGATAAGAGGTACTTTGGTTTTAAATGGTCCCATTTGTAATTTTTTATTGCAATTGCTGTGAGCTGGGCCTCTATATTTTCCACTAATATGGCAATGATCCTGAACTTTGGATAGCCCTATATCTAGCATATCCTTTTCTTTACAATACATGCATTCTTTAGCCTCTTTGAATGTTACATTATCTCCTATGCTTGGTTGCTGATACCATTTTGGTCCAATTATTTCGTTTTTATTTTTACACTCTCTATGAGATGCCCCTACATAATTTCCAGTATTGGGGCAACATACCATTATCTTGATTTTCTTTTGATCTGGAAAATCTTTTTTGCAAATCCAGCATTCCGTTGCCTTTCTATGCCTTGTATAATCTCCATACTCCATAATCATTTTAGCAGGTTCAGATAAATCTAAATTAATATCTGCTAGTTCTACTTCTAATTTATCTACGAATTTTTCTAATGCATCAGGTCATCGTGGCTTGTAATTTCATAATTGAGGAAACTGTCCATGCAGACAACTACATAACTATATCCACAGGGTATGTGCCTCTGAATTTTTTCAGTGCGGGTTAATTGAGCATCTTCTTCTGAAGTTAATTTTGTAGTTAAGCATTCCAGATCCCAAAATATTCGATATGGGTTTGCCTGCATGCATTTATGGTTATAGAATGCCTTGGTGGTACTCTTTTCTAATTTTGGAACTTTTGGCTCTTGTGGCGCACCATTTATTCCTGAACATTCATGTTTATTAAACCCTTTTCATTAGAATAAACATGAAGACAATATCGGCAAAGGTATTTCCGCTCTTTGTGTTTACTATGGTTATAAACCAGTCTATGAATGTCTTTAATTATACAATAATGTGAGCGCGGATTTTCTATTTCATCTGGCTCTGAGATAACCAGAAGATTAACCTCTTTGTAATCTTTCTTCCTCTTTTCTGATATATACTGGAACTCAATGCGCTTATTTTCATTGGACCATTTATACACACAAAGACTAATTTCAGGATTATTTTCTTCGAATTTTTGGTATACTGGCGTTGATACTGGCACAGGAACTGGAATGCCCTTCATATTTAACTCATTTATATAATTAGCATATATCAGGTGCGGATTTCTTTCTGGATGGACTTTAACTGGGTGCAAGGCTCCAAGTACGCACCATCCAAAGCACCATTCATCATTATTCTGCATATTTATAACACTGTTATTTCGTTTTGGCATGGTGTCAGGTAGAGATATATGGCATGTAGGGCTAATAGGATCGAAATCCGAAATTTCAATACTAAATTCTTCAACGTATTCTGGGTATGCATTGGACATTTTTTAGTAATAATAATAAATCTAACTGAAAAGTTCTTTTTTATATATATATATTTTATTAGATTTTGTGCATTATCAGGAATATGCTCTAAGCCGTTTTTATCCATTTTTTTCCAAAGACAATTTTTTGAAAAAATGCTTTTGAGGCTATTCCTGGTATGTAAAAAAAAGATAACAGCTATTTTTGCTTAGATTAAGAGACGCTGTTAAAAATGCTTTAGGGTATAAAAAACCTATTAATTTTACGAAAAATTTTTTGGTTAGATTTTTTGGTTAGGTTTCTAGAATGCATATCTTTTTAGGCTTTAGAGAAAGCAAAAACGGCTTAAAGATAATAGGATAAATAAGGATTCTATAGCCTCCCGTAGGCTGATTTCCGATATGAAATCATTTTTTATACCCAAAATCCGATTAAAAGTACGACGAAAATCTAAACCAATCGTAATTTAAAAAAAAGATATAGCAGAATCGTTTAAAACCGCACAACAATACCACGGGGGCATTAAGTCATAATCTAATTTATCACGTAGACAAGGTAGTAGCTGATGCACTTTCTTGTCTACCTCATTTTTTGATGCCAATAATTGTGAAGAGAGGCTCATAATGGCTTGATTGGCCTTGGTCCAAATTATTTTTAGCCAAGTGCTCATTTGAGAACTTAATAAACATAGAATTTGCAATACAAAGAGAAGATACACACCTTGCCAAATTAGCAAAGGGAAAAACAAATCTTAAGAACAAGGGCTTAATCTCAGCAGGTCGCAACACAAGGG